TAGCAGCTGGTTTCTTTAGCTGCATCCTTAAAGATGCATTGTCGTCTTCGTTCAAAAGGAAATGATTCTGTCAGTTCCTCTGAATGTCGCAGGTGGGTGGGCCTGGGTAGGTGAGAGCTTGGCACCATGGCTCTGGTGTTGACTGGCTGTGTGTGTGACCTTGAACACAGGACTTATCCTCTCTCACTGTCCTTGCACCTGTTAAATAGCCTATCACCTGGGCTCCTAGGAAGTTTGCTTTCAGCTCCCGTGAGGTAGTCCTGCACATGGCACCAAATTTGTGGGTATTGTCCAACATAGTAAGCACTAGCCACAGTGGATATCTAAATAAAAATATAAGTAAAAAAATGCAGTTCCTTGGTTACATGAGCCCCATGATGGACAGCTCCGTCATGGCAGTCTGCTGGGCAGCAATGGCCATCCCATACTTTAGCACAGACACTTTGTCGATATCCTACCACGTTCCAGAAAAGCTTTACCGTAGCTCCCACGGCTACTGTAAATACATGCATTCCTTTGTAATTTATCTGGGATAAATATAAATACCATAATCTTGTATATGGTATGACATCAGGATCTAATTCCATTTTTTGTCCATTTGAATAGTCACTTGTCCCAGCACCGTCTTGGACAGTCTATCCTTCGCCTCACTGACCGGCAATGTCCTCCTCTCTCATACACAAAGTTTATATATATGTATGTGCAGCCTTCCTTATTGTTTATTTGTATTTTATTCCTACACCAGTACCACCCCATCCTAATGAATTCTCCTTCTGGCACATATCACCTAACATAGTCTGTAGTTTCCTCACTGATCATGTTTATTGTTTATGTCTTTCTCTCCCCTGTAATCTCTAATTACTACAGCATGACAGCTCTAGGGAGCAGGAACTTCTGTCTCTTTCACTTTCTGCGGTGTCTCAGTATCTATAACTGTGCCTGGAATATAGTAGGTGCTCAACAAATGTTTGTCAAATGCATCAATGAATGATTTTCCCGAATAAGCTACAAGTTGTAGATACTTAGTACAGCCTTTCCCTGAAAGCCTCGTCCCATTTCCACCTGGCAAACTCCTATTCATCCCTCAAGACCCAGTTCAGCTACCTTGCACTCTGTGAAGCCTTTCCTGACTCTGTCCATGAATGCAGCTGTGGCACTTGCTACGTGTGAACAGCTGTTGGTCCCCCATGCCCACCTCACTAGGTTGTGAGATCTCTAAGGGGAAGAGCTGCACTTTTCTCTCCTTTCGGTATTTGAAATTCCAAACAGTGTAGGCCCAAACCACTGGAGCTCAGAGGAAAGGCACCAAGCTAATACCTGAGCTGTCTGGGTAGGCCCACTGAGAGATGTTTACTGTGGATTGGATTAAAATTTTAAAACTACCAGAGCAACACACACTGATTACCAAAATTAAAACACAGTAGAAGTATATAAAACAAAACCACACCTTCCCTCCTGGCTCTCTCCCTTCACTCCACTCCTTAAAGGCAGAGCAGAATTATGATTAGGAGAGACCGTCCTTGCTCCATATCCTGGCTCAGCCACTTGCTACCTGTGAGGAAGGCACTTAGCCATGCTATGGCACAGGTTTCTACCCAGGACCTGGGGAGCTAGCAGTACCTGCCTCGTGGCTGCGTCAGGATTAAATGGTGCCAGCCCCTGCACAAAACCCACAAGGAGAAGGTTCTCAGGGGCTCTGGCTGCTGTCCCCAGACACAAATTGTAAAGCTCACTCCTGGGTAGACACTGCCATCTTTTAGACCCTGGTGGGATCACACTGGACATGCTGCCATGTGCCCCCTTGTCGCTAACTGGCACCCTTCCCTGCCAGTCACTTGTGTCTGTAACGAGATGGCAATAAAATGAGCCTGGATTGGTGAATTCCGAGCAGGGATGGGTCAGGAAAGCCTGGACGTGGGAGAAGAAGTCGGCTGCGAGCCTGGAGGAGGCGTGCAAGGCTGACCTCAGGGACTAGTGAGCCAGGCTGATGGCAGAGGCATGGCACAGTGGTCAGATGAAGCTCAGACAGAGAGCATGGGCACAAATAAATGCACAAAAGCTTTCGCAGATGGCTTTAGAGTTTAGCAAGAGCAGCTAATGGGTTATGTACTGCAAATGGACAGATGCTCAATTTTGTAAGAAATCGGGAAAATACATTCATCCTACTCATTATGTACAATTCTCCCCCACCAGCCTGGCAGACATGAAAAGCCTTGGCAATATCAGTCGCTTAGGATGCCAGG